CGGCCCGGCCCTCCCCGTTACGGCCGATCCCATGACCGCCAGAGCCGGCACAGCCCATCCCCGCACAGGCGGTCCCTGCACCCCCAGTCCCTGCACCGCCGATCCTGTTACAGCCAGTCCCTGCACAGCCGATCCCGTTCCAGATGGTTCCCGCACAGCCGATCCCGTTACAGCCGATCCCGTTACAGGCGTCCCCCGGCCATGGGGGCTTTCCCGGAGCTCTCCCTGGAGGCCTCCAAGCTCCTCTTGTCGGCCTCGCTCACCTTCGCCGCCGTCTTCCTCTTCCTCACCTTCTTCCCCTTCGCCCCGAAGGGCGCGGGGCCGCCGGGTCAGTGCAGGGTGCGCACGGGAACCGGCCGGGAAACGGGAATGGAACCGGCAAGGAAATGGGACCGGAACCGGCAGGGATACGGGAATGGAACCGGCAGGGAAAAGGGACCGGAACCGGCAGGGAAACGGGACCGGAACCAGCCAGGAAACGGGAATGGAACCGGCAGGGAAATGGGACCGGAACCGGCAGGGATACGGGAATGGAACCGGCAGGGAAACAGGAATGGAACCGGCCGGGATATGGGAATGGAACTGGCAGGGATACGGGAATGGAACTGGCAGGGAAATGGGACCGGAACCGGCCGGGAAACGGGACCGGAACCGACAGGGAAATGGGACCGGAACCGACAGGGAAACGGGAATGGAACCGGCTGGGAAATGAGAATAGAACCAGCTGGGATATGGGACTGGAACCGGCAGGGAAACGGGGATGGAACTGGCAGGGAAATGGGACCGGAACCGGCAGGGAAACAGGAATGGAACCGGCAGGGAAATGAGACTGGAACCGGCAGGGATGTGGGACCAGAAGCAGCAGGGAAACGGGGATGGAACTGGCTGGGAAATGAGAATAGAACTAGCAGGGAAATTGGAATGAAACCAGTAGGAAAAAGGGACTGGAACCAGTAGGGAAGTGGGAATAGAACCAGCAGAGAACTGGATTGTAATGAGTAGGAAAATGGGACTGGAATCAGTAGGAAAATTGGACTGGAACCAACAGGGAAATGGGATTGGAACCAGTAGGGAAATGGATTGGAATCAGTGGGGAAATGGGACTGGAATCAGTAGGAAAATGGGAATGGAACCAGTGGGGAAATGGGACTAGGGAAGATGGTCTTTCTTCATGTGAAAGGAAAGGAGAGGAAAGGAGTAAAGAAAAAGGCAAAGAATGAGCAAAAGAGAGGAGGAATAAGCAAAAAGGAGGAAGCAAACAAGGACACAGGAACGGAGGCTCCCGGGGCCTCAGTTTCCCCCCGGCATTCCCGCAAAACCCGGCGCCGTTCCCCCCGCGGGGCGGCTGCGCCAAGTCCCGGCCCAAAAACCGGGATGGGAGATGAAGCCCCGGGCTGAGACCCCCCGTTTGGCCCAGGGGTGGCCGGGCCTGGGGACAAACAGCCGGGACGTCCCCCGCCCCCCCGGAGGTGTCACCTGCTCCTCCCGCCTCCCAATTTAGGGGCTGACGCGGCGGGTGCCCCGCCCCCCCCGGCCTGGAAAGGGCAGCGGCCGCGGGGCAGCGCGCACACGAGCGCCGCGTCGCCGCGCCGCCTTCCTCCCGCTTTTTCCCTCTATTTTGTAGTCGTTTTTTCCAGCGCGGAAGATGGCACAGCCGTCTAAAGCACCCTGCAATGCCGAGCGGCCGGGCGCCGGGAAGGCCATCGCCGTGCTCACCTCCGGAGGGGACGCGCAGGGTAAGGCAAAACCCTGGGAAAACGCGGCGAAACGCCGTGGAAAAGGGGATTTTGCACCCAAAACCCCCGCCGATTATTCGCAACGCGGTCCCTTGCTGCAAGGCTTTGGGGTTGCATCGGGCGTTCGGGGCTCGAGCGGGTTTTTAGGAATCCAGGAGGGATTTTAGACTTTTTTTGGGATAATCAGCATGCGGTGGCGTTGCTCCATGTGCCGGGAATGCAGTAAATCAGCACCCAGGGCCTCGCATTCCCGCAGCCGCGAATAAACCGTTCCCAAAGCTGCCAAAGGTTGGGAAACACCAGGAGGGGCTTGGAAAGGCGGCATTCCGGGCAGGCAGGGTCCCTGTGGGCAGAGTTAAGGGCAACGTCCCCCTTGTCCAAGGTTGGGAGGGAGCCGTGCCTTCGTTTTCCCATTTTTTTTTGCTAAGGAAGAGGAAATAAACTGGGAGACGTGAGGAAAGGGGGTCTGGGCTTGCTAGAACAAGGCAAAAAGCAGCCGGCCCCGCTTGTCTGAGCCAGGGAGAGCAAATGCCACGAGGGAGCGTTCCCAGAGGGAACACAGGGATTCGCTGGGAGCTCCGCGCGGAGCTGCCGGGTCTGCTTGGCTTCGTCACCGGCGCCTCGGTGACAGCGCCGGCCCGGCGTGACACGAGTTGTGTCGGTCGCCGGCCGCGGAGGCGTCACATGAGCGCGGGCGGCTCCGGTTACCGGCCGAGCTAAATGTCAGCGGGGCAAAAATAACCCGGATCCGGGGACGCGGAGCCCACGCGACGCCGCTCCCTCGGAGCCGGGATCCGGCCGCGGCCCCCGCTGTGGGG